ACCAACAATCACGCTGAACCACGTGACGCAAGACTCGCCCTCTCGCGAGACCTGGTACGATAGCGGGCAAAAATAGTTTTTAAACTGTCAGCTACTGGGTCCCACATCACTGGTTATTTTTGTTTTTATTTGCAACACTCGCTGTCATTACGGAACTAGGACTTAAACTAGTGAAAAAGAAGTAAGCCTTCAATATATATTTACATTCATGTATATATATACATACATAAAAGTAATATATATATATATATATATATATATATATATATATATATATATATATATATGTATATATATATGTATATATATATATATATATATATATATATATATATATATATATATATATAGTATACGTTTATATGGGATACACACTTATCTACATTTTAAAATTCTATTTACCAAAGATTTGCAACAATGTTTTTTTTTTAAATATAGTTAACAGAAACCTCTGTAAAATGCCTTATCGATATTTGATTTCATTTATATATATATATATAAACGAATAATTTTTATTGAATTGTTATCCTAGATTACATATTCATCGCATTTTTTACAATAAACTGCTAGATCGTATAATTGATTAAATCAGCCTGTCTAATCGAAATCTAATTAGCGTCCTGTAGCGAGTTAGGAAGGAAAAAATCGTCTAGACTTTATTGGATTAACCTTCACAACTCGAACTATTTTTTCTTAAGTGTGTACATGTGCTTCAGGTGTGTCAATATTCGAGTAGCTTACACAGCAGACGCTCATTGTATCTGTACAAAAAACACCTCGTGAAAAACACACGATGTTGAGTGTTTTCTTACCGTTGTTAATGATCATGGGTGAGGCTTATATTAATTTCATGGCTTAGGTCAAGATTGTGGTTATAATTTCGGATAAGTTAAGCTTGTATTAATTTCATGGCTTAAATCAAGATTGTGGTTATAATTTCGGATAAGTTAAGCTTATACTAATTTCATGGCTAGGGTCTAAATTATGGTTATAATTTCGGATAAGTTAAGCTTGAATTAATTTCATGGCTAGGATCAAGATTGTGGTTATAATTTAGTTTTTTAGGTAAAATTTTAGTTGAGGATTAAGTGGAAATTGTAGCTGCAGTGAGGATTAGAGGATTATGCAATAGTAATAAAAAAGGTAATCATTATTTTCATAAATTACAGATGATGTTAAAGATAATGGTAGCGATAATACTGGTCAAACGAATCTGATTTGATGCGATATTTGACGTAAAATTATAACTGGACTTTATTTAAAGTAAATATTCCTCTTTAGACCTAGCGATCCATTCGGTAGATGAAGCTGAGTTCATGTTTCTGTGACCTCGGCATATGAATAGATATTGTGGTCAGCACTATGACCAGCTGCCTTTACTTTCCCTAACGTGAGTTCGATACCTATCAGAGCTGGGTGGACTCAGGGACGTCCTACGAGCTTAGACCCGGGTTCGTTGAGCTTTATTTAAAACATGGGGTTATCCTCCTACCCCATTAATAAAATATATTTTTAAATGCGAGTGTGAGCTATTTTTAGCTAGCGCCGTTATTTCATTCGGCTGAGCCGCCGTGTCTCTGGTATAATCAGTCGAGCGGTGAGTTTACACGACGTAGGCCCAGTCAAGGACGGACTGGCAGATTTAACTAGATAAGCTTTACGTAGACCTGAAAGATTTGGGTTAATGAGACGGTGGAGGGTTTGTGGCAGTTCTTCCACTGTGTCAGGTAGGTCTTTTATCTTAGACACTCTAGAGGTCGTGTAATATGCTGGCATGTTAGTGTTGTGTTTTCCTTAATCTTTGATGCTGTAGAGGTCACGTAATAGACAGGTTAGTGTTTTGCTTTCGTTAAACGTTGATACTGTAGAGCAGAGTTTCTTCCTGGCATCTCTTCGGTGGGGCCCCCACCGCCCCCCCTCCAAACGAGATGGAATTTATTTAGTAAACATATACTTTTACTAGTGTCCGCCCACCCTCCACCTTCCCGTCGGAAAATGTAGATCGCACCCCCCCCCCCCGAAAATATCAAGTGCCCCCCCCCCCCTCCCACCCGGAGAAAAAAGTCTGGAAGAAATACTGAGACAGACACGTTTAGTGTTGTTTTCCTTAACATTTGATGGTGTAGAGGTCATGTAAATAGACACAATAGACAGACAGGTTCGTGTTATTTTAAAGGTGCTACGGTAATAGAATTATGTTTTCCTTAATCTTTGATGCTGTAGAGCTCATAGACAGACAAGTTTAGTGTTGTGTTTTTTCTTAATCTTTGGCACTGTAGAGATCATGTAATAGACAGACAAGTTTAGTGTTGTGTTTTTTCTTAATCTTTGGCACTGTAGAGATCATGTAATAGACAGACAAGTTTAGTGTTGTGTTTTTTCTTAATCTTTGGCACTGTAGAGATCATGTAATAGACAGACAAGTTTAGTGTTGTGTTTTCCTTAATCTTTGGCACTGTAGAGATCATGTAATAGACAGGTTAGTGTTATTTTAAAGTCGCTACAGCTATCGTGGTTTGTAATGAAATTATATTCATTGAGATATATAAAGCGGTAAAATATAAAAAATAAACTTCGCCAATGGACATTAACGAGTTAACGCGAGCCCTTCCGTAATTATTGTTCACTTGGATAAAAATTGTGTTTTTGGCAATTTTGCGTTCATAACGGTCGTAAAAGAAAAGAAATTAATTAAGCTTCACATTTTTTTAGAAAATTTAATATTTTACGAATCTGTATTGTAAAGTTGCAAATGCAGAGAAATTTTAAAATATGTGTGTGTTTAAGGCTACATTTCTATTTATTTTCACATGCTTATAATATAACGTGAAGATTCACTTTCGTAAGGCAAACATTGATTAGCTGTACAGGAGCGCTTCTGTCGATCTTCTGAAAACCCCACTTTGTTGTAATTTATCCTCGAAACTTTGCCGATAAAATTTTAAAATAAAACTATACTATTTTAAACCGCATAGTCTACTATTGCTATGTTTATTAACATTTTCATTGACAAAATAAAAACATTTTTTGTATTATTTTCGGCATTTTTAAACAAAATTTGTTTAGTTACCGAAAATACTAAAAACATCAAATACAACCGATTTTTTAGTAACGTCCGACAAAAACCAAACAGTCCTGTTTTAATAAACATACTTATTTTAACAGCACAGTAGCCCTACTTTGTTTTACAACTATGTAATGTGCCTTTCGAGCAATTTCAAGACCATTCTCATTGGTCATCATTGAAATTACCCCACTGGTTTCTACTACTTCTGAAATTACTTTGCCAATAGTTCCAGTGTTAAGAAATGACGCCACTAGGTTCCTACATGTTGCTACACATTTGTTTGTTTGTTTGTTTGTTTGTTTTGTGGGGGGGGGGGGGGGGGGGGGTGATGACATCTCTGAATGTGAGATCCAACATATAGCTTGCAAAAAATTACAAGTAGCTTACATATAATTACAAAAAGCTTTTATATACTTACAAATAGCTGGAATATAATTACAAATAGCTTACATATAATCACCAATAGCTTACATATAATCACATATAATATATATATATATATATTAAAGATATATTAAGCGGAATTTTTTGTATTGAAATATGAAGTAGAGTTCACTTTTTTCTGTGACCTCAGCATTTGAAAGAGTAGTGTCGTCAGCTGTATGCCAAGCCGCCTTTACTTTCCCTAACGTAAGTCAGGTACCCATCAGAACTGGGTGAGCTCAGGGACGTCCTACGGCTTGGGAACGGGATCCAAACTCAAGACGTTCAGGGTTAGCTGTCGAACGCTAAGCTGCCCGACCACCCCTTGCTCATTGTCCAAAATACACCAAAACAGGTTTTGGCTACAAAAACAGTTGTTGTTTTTGTTTTTTCTTTGAGGCTGCGTCGATTTCTCTCAGCTGACAGAAAACCCATTTGAATTACTTCAACTGTCGAAGTCGTAAAAGTTATCCACAAAACAAACAAACACACACACACACACACATAGAGATCGAGAGAGAGAGAGAGAAACAAACACACACACTCACAAACACACATAAACACACACACATAGATCGAGAGAGAGAGAGAGAGAAACAAACACACACACTCACAAACACACATAAACACACACACATAGATCGAGAGAGAGAGAGAGAGAGAAACAAACACACACACTCACAAACACACATAAACACACACACATAGATCGAGAGAGAGAGAGAGAGAAACAAACACACACAATCACAAACACACGGAAACACACACACAGAGATCGAGAGAGAGAGAGAGAGAGAGAGATAGAGAGAGAGAGAGAGAGAGAGAGGGAAACAAACACACACACTCACAAACACACAGAAACACACACACAGAGATCGAGAGAGAGAGAGAAACAAACACACACACTTACAAACACACAGAAACACACACGCAGAGATCGAGAGAGAGAGAGAGAGAGAAACAAACACACACACTCACAAACACACAGAAACACACACACAGAGAACGAGAGAGAGAGAGAGAGAGAGAGAAACAAACACACACACTCACACACACACAGAAACACACATACAGAAACACACTCACAGAGATCGAGAGAGAGAGAGAAACAAACACACACACTCACAAACACACATAAACACACACAAATCGAGCGAGAGAAAGAGAGACTTTGACAGCTAGGCCCATTGTTTTGTTGAAGTATTAAAGTCGGCCGGGAACAGATCTCATGATGATTGATATGCAGAAAGAGCCATAAGATAGCAGGTTGTCTACACCCTCTCCCTCCACCCCACCCCCCACACAACTCCCCCCCCCTCCCACACACACTTAGTTTTATAGGTGACACTTTTGTTTACGGAAAAGACAGCCATAATGTTTACACTTTGATTTAAACTTTGAGCTGTCGTGTTTATTCTAAACGATCGACGCGCGTCAACAGTTATGATTTTATTTTATGATGGTTATTGTATTGTTATAACCCAATTTTTTTTTACTTTTCCAGGTTTATAAACTATGCGTGTCAAGACTAAAACGGCAACCCACAACACATAACAGGAGTATTACAAGCAACAATAACATCAGTCGTAGCAATCGTCGTTTGAAATACACTAAGAGTATTACACGCAACATCGAAAGTAACACTCGCAGTTTGCAATACTAAACCTTGGATTACATCGTGCAAAAGTTGCTTTAAAACAAAAATGTTGACCGCTATGACGTCACGTGAGATTGTCCTCCTGGCATTGGTGTTCGTCGCTTGGACGATGACGTCATTCATATGCCACGAGAGCGGGAAGACTTTCCTGGCACTGTCCGGTACGTTCCTGGCAGATGTCAATGTGCTAGGGGGTGCCGCGTCCAACATTGTGTTAGCAGTTGTCCTGACCGCCTCACAGGTAGGTTCATGGCGTGCTGCGTACAGTTTGTTGAATGAAGGAGTGAAAGCAGTGTTTCTTCCAGACTTTTTTCTCCGGGGGGGGGGGGGCACTTGAAATTTTCGGGGGGGGGGGGGGGGCGGACACTGTTAAAAGTATATATTTTCTATATAAATTATATAAATTTAATTTCGTTCGGGGGGGGGGGGGCGGTAAAAAAATTTCGGGGGGGGGGGGGGGGGGGGGGCAAAACCCCCCTCCCGAAGAGATGCCTAGAAGAAACTGAGTGAAAGTGTGAGAGAATGAAGGAATGGGATGAATAAATGAAAGAAATATTGAATGAATGAAAGAATTATACAATTAACGAATGAATTAGCGAATAAAAGAATAAACGAATGAAACCACGAACGAATAAACGAATTAACGAATGAAAGAATGAACGGAAGAATGAACGAATGAACGATTACATGAATGAACGATTGAACGAATAAATAAATGAATGAATTATTGATCTAAATTATGAACGAATGAATTAGTGAAAGAATGAATTAATAGAAGTATGAATTAATGAACGAAAAAATGATTGAGCGAACGAATGAACAAATGAACGATTGAACGAACGAACAAACGAACGAATGAACAAATGAACGAATGAACGAATGAACGAACGATCAAAGGAACGAATGAAAAAGAATGAATGAATGAACGAATGAACAAAGAAACGAAACAAAGAAACAAATATACAAATTATGAATATACGTATTTATAAATAAATCAAACCCCATCCACGGAAACAGTGTAATCGTAATGTATTGCTTACACCGAAAGGTCTGTAATTGGAGCTCCCCCCCCCCCCCCCCCCCCCCCCCCCCAGAAAGCTGAATAGGTCACTGTCACCGGGTCAGGTCATTAATAGCCCCGGGGCAAATGTCGAGTCAGTGCATGACTCAAGGGTGACTCCAGCTGTCGCTGTACAACCCCGCGTCACTGACCAACTAACCGTCTGCTGCACCACTCGCTGACCTCGACGTTTTGTCGTCTGCTAGATTTGGCGCTTTGATTTTTCTCACGCCTTTTATTTAACTTTTAAAAAAAAATCAAATAGAATTCAAGCTTGTTTACTTAAGAAAAACATTTTATGTTTAATAAAGAAACCAAGCTTGATTCCGTTGAAATAACGTTATATGGTAGGACGTATTTAAAAGTAGGAAATTTATATTTTTAAAAAACCCATTAATTTTAATCTGCTTGATTACATCAGTGGGTATTATTTAGGACACGCCAAGCTTTTATTTTTAAACTCGGTCCATTAGCTGGGTAAAAACCTTAAAAGCCCAAAGCCAAATTTTTGGTGTAGAGATCTTAGATTTTATTTTAAAGAAACAATCTTCGGGTGGGTGGTTAAGAGACATAGATGTTTTACTGTAAGTTGTACAAAGGGGGGGGGGGAGATGGGGGGGGGGAGTGCAGTACGGAAGGGAAGTCGTTTTTGTTCACTTTCTTTCTGATCCCTTCACAATGTGAAGGTCGTTTCGACCTAAGGTCTTCGTCTGAATCCGGGTCAAGTGAACAGGTTAAACTAAAATAAACAAAAAATGTTGAATGGCCGAATGAATGATTGAATGATGAGTGAATGAATTTAGATTTGTAAAAGGTTGGTGATTGGGTAAGGGACAGAGGCGTAGCGATGGGGGGGGGGGCAGGGGGGACATATGTCCCCGGGCGCCGACCTTAGGGGGCGCCAAAATGGGTTGTAAAATCAAAATTAAATGTCAATTTAGCTGCATTTTTGCAGTTTGAGGGGGGGGGGTGCACATCGAAAAGTTGAGGGGGGTGCAAATCGAAAATTTGCTCCCGAGGGGGGCGCAAAATTGAAAGTTTGTCCCCGGGCGCCGGGAAGGGTCGCTACGCCTCTGGTAAGGGATGTGGAAATAATAGGTCCCTGAATGATGGGTGTTAGGGTGGAAGGTGTGCGAAATAATGGGTGTGTGAAGGGTAAACGTGTGAACAGAGGCGTAGCGAGGGTGGGTAGGGGGTGGGGGCGGGCCGCACCTGGTGACATTATTTATGGAGGGGGGGGGGTGACCACAAAAAAACAAAATATTGCAAAATTTACAGAAGAAAATGTCTTGTTTTCCAGTTCAGTTAATAATTAATTAAAGTTAAATAGTCTTTTAAGTACAAATCAACAATTATAAACATCGTCACTATTACGTCTTCAGTGATTAAAGCTTATAAACATACTTGTAAGCGTATGTGGCATATACATACACACACCCACACGCACATATATATATATATATATATATATATATATATATATATATATATATATATATATATATACTCAGTTTGTTGGGGGCGGGGGTGACACCACGGATTGCCGCACTGGGTGACACCCGACCTAGCGACGCCACTGCGTGTGAATGATGAGTGTAGGGATGTTGAGCGTGTGAGTGATGGGTGTTTGAATGATGAATTGGAATGATGGCTGGGTGGAATTATGATTGTGAATTAGTCTGTGAATGATTGGTTAAGTAAAAGTGGATGATGGTTGCGTGCATTATGGTTGTATTAAATTATGGGTGTATGAGAGAGATGGATTTAACCCTTAGGCCTACTCGTTGACGTCTTAACGTATTGTGAACCGTTAGTCTTTGATAACCTTAATTCTAAGCCATTGATAACATTAATTCTTGATAACCTTAAATCTAAGCCATTGATAACACTAACCCTTAGCCATTGATAACCTTAATTCTAAAGTTATTGATAACCTCAACCCTAATCCTTCCAGAACCTTTACAGCCTCTAACAGATTGAACCCTCCTTCCTCTCTTTCAGTGTTTGGTTTGTTACGGCACCGTCAACCTGAAGTCACTGACCAGCTCGCCTCTCAGGCTAGTGCTAGTGACGTCACACGTGCTGGCCACTCTGGCCACTAACTACAGCATGACCTACATAGAGGTAAGTAGGGCATGACCTACATATAAGTAGGACCTTAAGTAGAGCATGACCAACAGAGGTAAGACCTTAAGTAGAGCATGGCCTATATAGAGTAAGACCTTAAATATAGCATAACCTACATAGATGTAAGACTTAAAGTAAAACATGACCTACAGCACGGTCAATTTTAAGTAGGGCATTGCCTAAGTTTTAAAGTAGATCATCACCTGCATAGAGTTATGACTTTTAGTAGAGCATGACCTACAAAAAGTAAGACTAAAAAATACGACATACCTAGAGGTTAGACTTAAAAAAAAACAAGTGGAGCATGACCTACATGGGGGCACGGCTTGCACACTTATTACAGAATGACCTACATAGACGAAAGAATCGGACTTTAATTAGAGCACGACCTACATGTGGGGAAAGACGAATTACAGAATAACCTACATAGACGAACGAGTCGGACTTTAATTACAGCACGACCTACATGGGAGGAAAGACACAATTACAGAATGACCTACATAGGCGTAAGATTTAGACACTAAATAGGGTATGACCTACATCGTGGTAACACACAGTAAAACAATTAACAGAAAAAAATCAATGCAACAAAAATGCGTGCTAAAACACAGTTTCACATTTTGTGAAAAATTCGATCACTGCATGTGCTGTCTTCACAAGGTAAAACTTCAATTATAAAACGGATAAGGCTAGGGCTAATGTACTCCCAACACTAGGATCAATTAATGATTAAGACTAAACACAATGAATGACTAGGATTAAACACAATGAATGACTAGAATTAAACACAATGAATGACTAGGATTAAACACAATGAATGACTAGGATTAAACACAATGAATGACTTGGATTAAACATAATGAATGACTAGGACTAAACATAATGAATAACTAGGACTAAACATAATGAATAACTAAGACAAAACACAATGAATGGATATTAAACAAAATGAGCGACTCTAAACATATATGAACACCTACTAAACATGTTTGACAATAGATTATACCTAAATTAAACTCTACATCTCACATCTTTTACATTTTATCTATATCATTATCATCCCCACTAACCAATGCACCATCAACGTTTCCCATCATAAACTTCTGACATTAAAACCGCTTTGATGTTAGGTAACACATTCTGTAACACATCGCACGAGAATCCACGAGACATCCCATCAATCAAAATGGGCCCGCGTTATGCGGCAGGTTGCCTGATGGTTTGAGAACAAAAGAAAAAAAAACATACCCAAAGCTGATGTTTCAAAACCAACTAGATCTACCTGTTTTTCTGGTCCTTCACTAAAACAAACCGATTTGATATGCAATGAATACTAGATGGGTTACGTCCCTGCATTTAATTTGTCAACAATGTTGAACTTCTATGGGAACGTGATGAAGTATGATAAAAAGGGGGGGGGGGGGCATCTTTCCTTCATCGGGAACTTCCTCTCTCTATATATTTATATACATATATTTATATACATATATATATATATATATATATATATATATATATATATATATATATATATATATATATATATATATATATATGTGTATGTTTTGTTTGTGGATACCTTTTACGATTTCGAAAGTTGAAGTCATTCGAATGGATTTTCTGTCAGCTGAGAGAAATCAACAGAGCCTCAAAAGAAAGAAGAAAAAATGTTTTTGTTGCCAAAACCTTTTTTTTTTGTATTTTGGGTAATGAGCAATGACTGGTTGGGCAGCTTAGCGTTCGACTGCTAACCCCGAACGTCTCAAGTTCAGATCTCGATCTCAAGCCGTAGGACGTCCCTGAGTCCACCCAGCTCTGATGGGTACCTAACCTAAGTAAAGGCGGCTGGGCATAGTGCTGACTACACTATCCCTTCATATGCCGTGATCACAGAAACAGGTGAACTCTTCTTCACTTGCTCCATAGACCTTCAGGTTTGGAAGGAGAACTTTATTTTACCTACAGTTGTTGTACAAAGTATAACTAATTGCGCCCCCCCCCCCCATCCCACCCCCCCCCCCCCACACACACACCATCACTGTATTCTGTTTACAAGCTGACATTTTGCACACAACGAAAAAAAAACCCAGCTGTTTGCCTAGTTACTCTTGTATACACAATTCAACAAAAGCACTCGACCGCACAGCACATGTTGCATGTTTGTTTCAAGCACGTCAATTCAGACAAGTGCTATAGTATGTGCTACATCAAGCGCTAAGGTTACATATTGCTACCCAAGTGTTATGATCGTGAAATGGGAGTAAACGTAATCAATCTGTTCACTTCACATTAAAAAAAAAACTAAGCTCGAAATCCTATTTAATCTTAATCCCATTGTTTATGGTTCATTCGTTGCAAATGTTTATACAATACCTCGCCTGATTTATGTTCTACACTGGAAAGACTTGTATCCGTTTATTTGTTTGCTTGAACATGTAGCTCTTAAAAACAAGCGAGAGTATCGGGTAAAACTAGTTTATTAACAGAAATATCAGCTCATGTTTGCACGATATTAATCGATGTCTACTAAAGCCCAAACAAAGCGTTTCCGTGCGTTTGATACATTCTTAAAGTAAAGTTTTCTTTTCGAACTTGACGGTCCATGGGGAAAGTGAAGTAGAGTTCACCTGTTTCTGTGAAATCGGCATATGAAGGAAAAATATGTTCAGCACTATGTCCAGCCGCCTTTACTTTCCCTAACGTGAGTTAGGTATCTATTAGAGCTGAGCCGACGGAGGGACATTCTACGTACTTGAATCTGGATTCGAAATCGAGACTTTTGGCTTAACAGTCGTATGCTCTACCATTCGACTACCCCGTCACTCAATATTTAAATGACCTGTACAGAATCGTATGTCGATCTCCACCACATTTACTGGGAATAATGTGGGGAGAGGGTGTGGGGGGCGGGGGGGATATGGCTGATGCATGGGCAACATGTTGCTCTTCTCAGCTTACTATCCATGCCTTGTGTTCTGGTTTGCAAATCGCAATTGTTATCCTATCGTCCATCAGACTATAGGGGCCATTATGATAAACGTTAAACAATTAGCCATTATTGAACGGCTTCTGAGTCTTACAAAGCATGGCAACAATGATAACTTTCATGCAGTGCTGTATCAATCTTATTACAAAACGTCTTATGTTCTGTTAAAAGTGATACTTAAAGATTCCTCTTTAGACCCTCGAGCTATTGGGCGAATGAAGTAGAGTTCATATTTCATGACCTCGGCATATGAAGAGATAGTGTGGTCAGCACTATACCCAGCCGCCTTTATTTTCCTTAACGTAAGTCAGGTACCTATCAGAGATGGAGGGACATTTAAAACTCCGAATCGAGATTAGAACTCGAGACCTTCGGACTAACAGCCGAATGATAAGTAACAATTAAACGTTGAAAACATTCATATTTCGTTTATCTAACTGTATTTACAACGTGCATTTTGTGCAAACTAAGTTCATTGTAAATTAGTTGTTTTTTACACACTAAGCTAAGTGTAAATTCGTTTCTAAGGCTAAGCTGACAGTAAATTAGTTTGTTAGACTAAGCTCATTGTAAATTAGTTTGTAACACGAAGCGCATTGTAATTTGGTTTATTAGAGTAAGCTCAATGTAAACTTATTTTGTTTGTTTTTTATCTCTCTATCTCAGGCCGCCTCGACCCAAGCCATCAAATTAACGGAACCTGTTACCATGGCAATAGGCCAGCACCTGTACTTCAAAACACCTGCCACGGCCCACACCCTCGTCAGCATACCTGTGATCATATCAGGTGCACTATTGTTCTCAGGTAAGTCAGAACACCTCAAAACACCTCAAAACACCTCAAAACACCTCAAGACACCCACCCCACAACCGCATTAGCATACCTGTGATCATATCAGGTGCATGTCATTCTCAGGTAAGTCAGGACACCTCAAAACACCCACCCCACACCCTCATTAGCTTACCTGTGATTATATCAGGTGCATATCATTCTCAGGTAAGTCAGGACACCTCAAAACACCCACCCCACACCCTCATTAGCTTACCTGTGATTATATCAGGTGCATATCATTCTCAGGTAAGTCAGGAGACCTCAAAACACCCACCCCACACCCTCATTAGCTTGCCTGTGATTATATCAGGTGCATATCATTCTCAGGTAAGTCAGGACACCTCAAAACACCCACCCCACACCCTCATTAGCTTGCCTGTGATTATATCAGGTGCATATCATTCTCAGGTAAGTCAGGACACCTCAAAACACCCACCCCACACCCTCATTAGCTTGCCTGTGATTATATCAGATGCATCCCATTCTCAGGTCAGTCAGCACACCTGTATCACCATATGTACGTCACGCTGAATCTAAAGCCTCCTGCTGTTGCATAATTAATCTGTCTTCCGTATGCTAATTTTTTGTTCATGTAAAATTATGCAAATTCAAATGAAAAATGACCACGTTTGTTCTACAGATGTAAGGGGCGTGTCCCAATGTTGCATGTAAACTTATGTCTAAAGTGTCATCCAAATATGAGGGATTATTTTTGTCATACATCACCCCTACTCGATTGTTCTCTGAATTCAGTGCAAACAAGCCACCACCCCCACCCCTTCCCTTCTACCACACATACGTCAGTATAATATGACCTCAAAAGAATCTTTTCAACCCCCCCCCCCCACCGCAGCCCTCTAAAATTATTTCATCTTTTACTTTCTCATACGCAGAGTGTAGAGGGAGTTTTGTAATCGTGGTGATTAATTAACAGAGAAAGTTTTCTTATACGTCTTTGTACACGGTATCGTTGTTTCAACGTGTTATGTACCATGCGTCATAACAATGATGGGGTGTGGGTATTTTTTACTGCTGGGAACTGTGTCAGACTTGATTGTTTAATTTAATTAATTGAAGTAATCCATAAACAACTTTTCGTATAAAAAGTTTAAAATATCTGAAAATTATAAATAAAGAATGTGTATGTGGGCTTTGGGTATAATAAATAATTTACTTAAAGACAAAACTATACGTATAGGTGAAGTAGAGTATACCAATGTCCAAGAGGACGGAGATCAATGGTGTTTTAAAGTCTTGCACGAAATTCGTCTTTACATTCTTCTACACGTTTTCACTTTTTTCCGCATTTTTCCACATTTTTTCACATTTTTTTTCAGTTTTTTTCACATGTTTTTCACATTTTTGTCACACTTTTGGTCACGTTTCAATTACATTTTGTTTTCACATTTTTTTTTTCACATTTTTTTCACATTTTTAAAATTATTGTTTTTTCACTTTTTTTTCACATTTTTTTTTCACATTTTTTTCACACTTTTTTCCACATTTTGTTTTCACATTTTTTTCTCACCCCCAGGTAAGTCCCTGGCGGACGCGACAGAAATCTGCGGCATATTCCTCGCCTTCTCCTCCAACATCATCCTGACGGCGCGCAACATCGGCCTTAAGTCCGGCCAGACCGCAGCGGCCAAGTCCCAGCTCACGCTGAGGTCGGCCTGGTGCATCTCGCTGCTGTTGCTGTGTCTGAGCGCCGTGATGCTGGTGGTCATGGTGCTGGACGGGCAGCACAGTCTGCCCGCCCCGACCCTCAGGATTGTCGGCTGTCTGTTCGCGTCCAGCGTGTTTCATGTGGTGTACTCGTACATTTCTACCAACGTTGTTCTCAAGGTCGGTGCCCTTGGTATTTCTTTATGTGTGTGTGTGGGGGGGGGGGGGGTTATGTGGGGGATGGGGAGAAGGCAGCGGCATGCAAATGGTGCACTAAATTCAAGTTTGGGTTTTCTTGTTTTGTTGTTTGTTATTTTGTTTTTTATTTGGCTGGACAAGGTATGTTTGGTTTGGAATAGAGTTGAAAGGGTTGGTGTGTTCCATGAATAGGGCTTGTAAGTAGGTCACAACAACTTCTCGTTCTCGCACTTGCTAGCTAGTAGATTTCGACTTATAAGGCCTTTTCTGCTACAAAGCTGAATTTATGTATTGTTGATTTTTTCCTAAGGAAGGGACGGTAGTGTTCCATAAGTGTTGTACTAATTACGGCTTTTTTAAAAATAAATTAACCTATTAATTTATTCTATCGAATCATATTTTTCGGGTTCATTCTAGTGAGAATTTTTTTTCGACGAATATTATTCTTTGGTCTACTACTCTCTTGAGTGCTGGTCCAAATGTTAGTCTTACAGAATCTGTTAACTTACAACTTACATAGTTCTCTAATAGACTCAACTAGGCATCTATCTGCTGATCTTGTCTCGCTTTAAATATGTCGCCATATTCTATTGCCTCGTTTTGAAACCGTCTTCTATGCACTACCACTACCTTATACACACGCTGCGGTGAAAATAATTTTTTGAAAAAAAAAAGTATGTCCCAATTTAGAAAAGATCATTTTTTTTAAAGCTGAACGGACTAAGGCAAATTTTGAGTAAATGTGTTTTATGACCAGGTCTATAAAGGTTGGGGAAATTGTAACGACTTTTATGGTAATTTGTCAACGGCTGGGTGTGAGCTAAATATCGAACGGATGCAACTTGTGAGCTGTGAGCAGCGCTCAACACTGGCAAAATGATGCGAGTTAATAAACGTCAAATCGTCAAGTTTCTTGACACGTCAAGTTTCTTGACATTTCGAGCTGTCAAGTTTCTTCTCCACACGTCAATGAGTGCAACAAAGTGAAAGTCGTTCGAAGTTAAAACTTAGACGGATGCTAATGTATGTATGTATGGATGGATGTATATGTATGTGTGTATGTATGCAATATGTATGTTAGTGGGCAGACGGCAGACTAGTTTGTCTGTCATCGTTGTGTCCTTACAAATCATTTGGCTCTCTTTCTCTCACACACACAAACAGACACACAAACACTTATAAATATACACACGCACTTACAAACAAAACTCTCTCACACTCAATCACACACACTTACAATTACACTCACACATACACACACACAAATCACACTCACACACATATATATAGGCCACATATATATGCTTATGTAAGTATATACATACATATACATATATATATATATATATATATACATAATGGATAAAGATGGGGGGGGGGGGGCGTTGTAGGGGTGGGGTCAGAGGCGTAGCGAGGGGGGGCGGGGGTGCGGACCGCACCGGATGACACCATTTAGGGGAGTGACACCAAAGCAAAAAATAGCAAAATATATAGAGAAAAACTTGAGGGGGGGGGGGGGTGGAAATTGAAAGTTTGGGGGATGGGGTTCAAATCGAAAACTTGAGGGGGGGTGCAAATCGAAAGTTTGAGGGGGGGGGGGTACAAATCGAAAATTTGTCCCCGGGAAGGGTCCCTACGCCTCTGGGGGTGACACCATTAAGTGCCGCACCGGGTGACACCCGACCTCGCTACACCACTGGGTCGGGTGATGATGTGGTTAGTACGTGACTGGATATCAAAGTACAATAATCAATGTAGATAAATGTCACTTTTAATGTGTTGTCACATCAACGAGAAAACTTGCCTGAATGTCCGTTTTTTGTTGTGGCAAGCCTCGGCGTTGATAGGATTTCACTTCGGACAATGTTAGCACTAGACTCGGGGCGTCACTTGGGGGGTATCTCTCTTCGGCGGGATTAGCCATTAGCAATAGGATATTATTTTAGGATATAATGGGGAGTGTTACATCACACAAATGTTTTTTTATTTCGCTAAAAATTATTTTTTTTTTGCAAAAATAAAAAAAATATGTTATGTATAAGCTAGCTTATTCATGAAAAAACATGTATCTTAAAAATGTACTTTATAGATAATGTGTCATACGTATTCGATACAAATATATATGTAAAAATGTTCGATATGGATCATGTGCCATTTGTTAAGTCTGGTATGCCGAGGTGTTGACAGCCGTCAATATGCAGTCAATTTTATTTTCCCACACGGCAGATAATCAATAACTTTTTTACAACGTCTAACAGCTGCTGGAATTATTTAGTTTATTGTAAGGGAATTAGTGACGTCATTAAACCAGTCTCTGTGACCAGATGGGTCAACCATGCTTTAACAAAAGTTTTTTTTTTTTAATAAATCAGAACTTAAAATCTGAATAACATTTGAGCATATAGCTAACGCAAAGACGTGAACTAGCACATAGCTGACGTGAAGACCAATGTTTCTTCCAGGCTGCGCCCCACCTTCGAACCGAAGAAAGTCCACCGCACCCCCCCCCCCCCCCACAACAAACGAAATGGAATTTATATAGAAAACATACTTTTATCAGTGTCCCGCCCCACCCCCCCCCCCCCCGGAAAATGTTGACCGCCCCCTTGAACATATTGACCGCCACCCCCCACCCCCCCCCCCACCCCCGAAAATATGAAGTGCGCCCCCCCCCCCCCCCTTCCGGAGAAAAAAGTCTGGAAGAAACACTGGTAAAAACGTGAACTAGCATATAGCTAACGTGAAGACGTAATCTCAAGACGACCGAAGAAAGGCAAAACATGTAGTCAACACCCTTGAGTTTGTGTTCGTTTTTTGTTTTGAGGTTTTGCTGAGTTTTTATATAGTGAGATTTATCTTACAAAATGATGACCGAATTTTGAAAACCTGCACAACTCACTCATACATGTATATCAAACTTTGAAACCTTTACTTGTATAGCAAACCTGAAAACCTGCACAAATCCCACATACATTTAACTAACTTACAAACCTGTAAAAATCTCAGATAAAAATATAAATCAAACCTTAAAAGCTTTACAAATCCCACTCATAAATGTATATCAAATCTGAACAGATCTCTGACATATTTTCAAATCAAACCTAAGAAAAAAAAATTGTACAAATCTCAAACACATTAACGAGGGTGAGCTCTGGAAAAAAAACACTTTTTATTTAACGAGCCTTTTTTTTTATTATATCTGTGTCTATCTAAGTTAGGGTATGTAAGCAAAAATATTGCATGCATCAGATACTCTTTTGAAAATATAGTTACAATGGGAACGATGGCCATCTTGACTGCTTTTTATAGAGGTCTCAAGGTTTAAAAAAAACGAACATATATATTGATCGTATAATCATTGATCCTTCTTCTTTGATAGAGTCAGCTGGCTAGTTTTTGTAACAAGCGAGGGGTATCGGATAAAACTGGTTTATTAACAAAAGTATCAGCTCATGTTTGTACAATATTAATCGATGTCAACTAAAGCCTAAACAAAGCGTTCTTGTGCGTTTGATCAATTCTTAAAGTAAAGCAAAGTTGCCTTTCGAACTGGACGATCCATTAGGTGAAGTAGACTTCATCGGCTTTGTGACCTTGGCATTTGAAAGGATAGTGTAGTCAGCACTATTGCCTAATTGCCTTTTTTTGTACTTTTCCTTTTTTTTCTTCGTAGTTTAACCATATTTCCCTCCGATCTCTAATGAGCTTAACCATCCCATATTTCTCTCCCCTGATGAGCTTAACCAAATCCCATATTTCCCTCCCATCTCTAATGAGCTTAACCAAATCCCATAATTCCCACCCAATGAGCTTAACCAAATCCCATATATCCCTCCCATGTCTAATGAGCTTAACCAAATCACATAATTCCTACCTAATGAGCTTAACCAAATCCCATAATTCCCACCCAATGAGCTTAACCAAATCCCATATATCCCTCCCATGTCTAATGAGCTTAACCAAATCACATAATTCCTACCTAATGAGCTTAACCAAATCCCATATTTCCCACCTAATGAGCTTAACCAAATCCCATATTTCCCACCTAATGAGCTTAACCAAATCCCATAATCCCCACCTAATGAGCTTAACCAAATCCCATTTCTCCCACCTAATGAGCTTAACCAAATCCCATAATCCCCACCTAATGAGCTTAACCAAATCCCATTTCTCCCACCTAATGAGCTTAACCAAATCCCATAATCCCCACCTAATGAGCTTAACCAACCCCCACATTTCCCCCACCCCCAGGTGATGAACGTGGTGAGCCACTCTATTGCCAACATCTTCAAACGTCTGCTGGTCGTGCTGCTCCTGTACGCCGTGGGCAAGCGTCAGGCGTCAGGCTGGAACCTCCTGGGTCTGGCTGTGGCCACGGTGGGGCTGTACATCTACGTCAGGGGCAAACACACGGCAAGCAGCGACACGCAGTCACACGCGGACGTCAAGGGAGACGGGACTCAGTGTAGGTTCTACTTTATTTATAATACATATCGTTATTTGGATGGCATCACATTTAAATATAGGGCTGGTAAGTAGGTCACCAACCAGTTCTATGTCTCATGCAGGTTTTATTGAGCCGCAGAACTGGTTGGTGACCTACTTACCAGCCCTATATCGTTGTGTGGATGGCATCACATTTAAATATATCGTTGTGTGAAGGACACCGCAGTTAAATACATTGTATGTTTTCATAGGCGTAGCTGGGGGATGGCGGATGGCGCGGCCGCCCCGGGCGTCAACCCTGGTGGGGTGGGGAGAGAAATATGGCAGAAAAATAAAACAAAATCTTATTTGTGACATTTGAGATAAATATATCTTTGTGAGATGACACCAAAGTTAAATACATTATTTTGTGCGCGAAATTTTAGTTCAATATTTTATTTTGTCAATGAAATCCAAATGGAAATATTAAAATGTATTCATACATTTGGATTAAAGGGATAGCGTAGTCGTAAAGTAGAGCGTACAACTCCTAACCCGATTGTCTTGAGTTCGAATCCAAAAAAAAACTGTTATATAAGAATTCACGAGAAAGCTTAAGTGAACTCTCTTCCGCTTTATTGTCAACAAAAATCATTCACCGCTGTTTAATAAATTACTCCCCATATAATTGAAATGTTTTGTTTCGTTTCAGCGTGGTTCTCCTCAGCCAAATACCAGCGTAGTTTTGGACTTCTGCTCAGCTGTCTCGCCCTGTTGTCCTTCACCTCAGTCATCAACAGCACTAACAACATCCTCTTCCATCCCAACTCCTACCTCACCTCCAACTTCACCATTTATAATCGTGACCTCACGTTTTTGAAGCAGTTCATGAACAACCCGTCGTACACGCCGAAATCTGAAAACATGGAGTTTTTATCCTGGAGTCTAGTCGATCACCCTTTTGAAACAGATTTAAGAGCGAAAGAATTGACAACAAATCTAGAAATTGTCGCTGAAGCGCAGAGAATTCTATTTAATCTTCTCAGCGATTTGATTGGTCCGGCCAGGCACGTGATGCTGATGGAGATAGCGACGTACCAAAACAAGGGCGACCCGGCTATCACGGCAGGGGAAGTGATGCTGCTGAGGAAATTGAACAAGACGATCGTGTACTACTGCGAGACTTGGAAGTGCGATAAACCCCAGCATCTAGAGCAAGCGGTCAATATCGGTAACAATTACTCCGCGGATGACTTGGTGATATTAATGCAGGGCGGGGGTAACCTGGTGGGGTATGATTTTGTCGACCGCATCAGGAAAAATATAATGGACGCTTTTCCAAAACACCGGCAGATCCTTCTCTCGCAGAGTATTTGGCTGAACGGCAGAAACAACAAAAGTCTTGAATTATGTAAAGAAATTTACTCGAACCGTTCCAATCTTGTCATGTTCTTGCGCGACCGACAGTCTCTTGAAATCGCCCGGGCAAATTTTCACGGCGTCAAACATATCCTGGCACCGGACATGGCGTTCGGGATGGGGATGGTCCCGCGTCAGATGCCTCCGTTCTACGACGTCATCTGGCTCAAGCGAGGCGACGGCGAATCGTCTAAATATGAACTTCCGGAATTCCCCGCGGGGATTTCCGTTCACGTCTCTGACTGGATCAAGGAGTGGGTCTCAAACGTTGGGACCCGGGATATGGAGACCTCCTTGCTCATCGCGACCGCCGGGTTTCAGTTTCTGCAAAGGGGGCGTGTCGTCATCACGGACCGCCTCCACGGGCACATCCTGTCCACGATGATGAGTATCCCGCACGTGTTGATTGACAACCCGCCCTTCTTCAAGCTGTCGTCCTTCGACCGCTCCTGGACCCGGAGTTTAAGCAACGCTGTCAAGGTCAGCAATGGCACCCTGGCGCTAGAGGCGGCCATCGGCCTGTTGAGACAGTACAATGCCAGTCTGCCGCAGGTCGGACCCAGAGACATGAACAGGTTTCAGATGGTTAAAGTATAGGGTTCTAGGTTTGGGCGAGTTACTTCCTACAATAAGGCATTAAGCTTGAGGTAGAGGTCATAACGTTAGGTCTTGTAAGCATGGTGTATCGGCCCTTAATTGCAGGTCTTGTAGGCTTGGTATATCAGCCTTAAAGTTAGGTCTTGTCTTGTAAGCATAGTGTATCGTGCCAAAGTTAAGTCTTGTAAGCATGATGTATTGGCCTTAAAGTTACGTCTTGTAAGCAAGAAGTATCGGTCTTAAAGTTAGTCCTTGTGATCTTGGCGTATAAACCCTAAAGTCAGACTTCCATAACATAAGGCCCTGAATCTGAAGAACGTTCACAGGAAACAAATTATTACGTTTTTTATATAATTCACACTTACAGTAGAACACTATTAGTAGCAAAATATCGGTGCTTGCCATCTGATTTATTCACTTCACTTACTTCAGTCATTCCTCTGTGGCCCCTCAGGATCAAAGGGTTGCTACACCACTTTCTCCATTTTGAGCGGATCTCTTTATTTAAGCGGCTCTCTTTATTTAAGCGGCTCTCTTTATTTAAGCGGCTCTCTTTATTTAAGCGGCTCTCTTTATTGGCCTCCACCTAAGCCCGGCAGCCCTTGCCTCATCTTCTACTGTCCTCCTCCGGGATATTTAATCAATTGGTAAAAACTAGTTTTCACCCCGTCATCATCCACCCTAGGGGTCATCCATAAATGACGTCACGCTTTTTTGACGATTTTTACCCCCCCCCTCCTCCCCTCCGTCACACGTCGTCACAAAAAGCCAGACCCCCCGCCCCCTAAAATGACGTCACACCTCAACCTACAACCCCCTCAAAATTGCAGTTGAATTTTTTTTAAACATCGATATTTTTCCAAAATCTTGTCTAAGCTATTACAATTTATTAAAACAGTTATCTAATACGCGAAATAACGTCTAAAATTCGTTGTCTAACATTGCTTTTTTATAATGCAAAAATGTGAAGTCGCAACATCTCCCCCTCATCAAACATCGTCACAAAATTACGGACCCCCCCCCCCCTACGAGTATGACGTCATTTATGGATGACCCCCCCTATCCCTTCGTCATACAGAGTTACAAATCATTACAGTGCCCGCCCCTCCCCCACCCCAACTCAAGGAAGTTTTAAGCGCAATCCTGAAAGTTCAGCCCCCTCTCCCCTTGTAGACTACATGAGAGTTTTTAATAAATATTAGTCTCTGCATTTGGACCAAAGCTTATATTTGTTTTGAACACATGGAAACTAAAATGGGAGCGATTTTTTAAAAAAAGCTCAGTATATTATAATGGTGCACTCAAGATGTGAAGACGTTAAGGTGGGTTGTGAGTGCACAAAATAAGTGCGTAATATAAACTTATTTTTTGTAAGTGCGTGTGTGGCTAGAAAATGTGCGTGTGTGGCTAGAAAATGTGCGTGTGTGGCTAGAAAATGTGTGTGTGCGGACAGAAAATGTGTGTGGCGTGAGTTCATACAAAATGCGTGTGAATCACTACCTTTATCTCTCACATTGAGATCAGCTAACCGAATGGAAGTTTACACCTGGACATAACATTTCAACCTACTCGTTGATTGAATAGCATTCCAGTTTTAATTAAGTCCCAATCATTGTGAATGGATAATCTTATAATTATGTTCAAATTAGCGCTTTCAATAACTTGTTCAATTCATGCCTTATAATTCTAAAATGAACTTTGCTTTACCTATCTGATAATTTTATGTGATTATATGTGATATTTTGGTGTATATATATACATGTTAGTATAAAAAAGTATAAATATATATAGATAAATTACAATATAGATTTACACAAATATGTATTAATATACATAAAATGTTTATATATATATATATATATATATATATATATATATATATATATATATATATATATATACATATATATATGGGATGAGGTATCTGATGTTTGTATCAAACATTGCAGTGGTTATTTATTTGTTTCAATTATTGATTGTCTATTGATGATGTTGATGTATTGAGATACTTTCACCATTTCAAATGCCAGTAGAAACATAACGATGTTACTGCAGTTAATCTGTATTAGTGCAACTTTATTCTTGCCTTATATGACTGAGAATTTTTGTGTATACTTCTGATATATCAATTGAAACCCGTTCTTTGCTGTGTACGTGTATGGTGTGTACATGGACACTGCGTACCTGTATTTTGTATAGCTGTAATATGTACACTGTACCTATATACCTGTTATATATATATATATATATATATATATATATATATATATATATATATATATATATATATATATATATATATATATATATAGTTTGCCGAAAGCCCGACTATTTTAACATCACTTTGTCGAGGTTTATATACCATTATGCTCTCAGTATATCAGGACATCATGTTGTATACAATTGTGGCAATATGTCTTATCATTATTACACAGCAACCCCTTCTCTCTCAGTAGAGCCTTGTTGCGAATGCGTTTCAAAAATGAAGTTGGAAAAGGCTTATTCTGGAGAAGAGGGAGTGACCGGCCCTAGTAGAGGGAGTGACCGGCCCTGGTAGTGGGAGTGACCGGCCCTGATAGAGGGAGTGACCGGCCCTGGTAAAGAGAGTGACCGGCCCTGATAGAGGGAGTGACCGTGTGTATGTGTGTGTCTGTATCTGTGTATCTGTGCGTGTGTGTATGTGTGATCTGAACATTTCTTGCCGTATATAAACTTGGGGTTATCGTTTAATTTTTCTCTCCAACAAACAACAGCATTTTTTCCTGACATATTTGTATATGTGCAATTTCAAGTTCTATTTTTGCCTGATTTACAATGTTTGGGTCATTAAATCAATTTATATCGCTTATTGATTCTTTGTTGTGATTGTGATAGATTTGTTTTAAAAATAATGATGTCTTTCTTTATTTGTGAAAACATAGCTATTTGAATCATAATCTCTAATATTTTGTTATTTACGGAAAAGCTATGTAATAGCATTTTACGTGATGTTCAGCATTTGATGGAACACGATCACCCCCCCCCCCCTCAATACAACTAGTATAGTCAGTTCGATACATTTGGTTGTGTGAGGGGGGGGGGATAAGGAGAGGAACACAAATACCCCCTCTGTGGGTGTAATGGCAAAAGGAGTGGACTCATTAGCAACAGTTTAATTCAATTCTTCGACATAGCCAACTCTTGTTTTAATGCGCTACAAACTTTAACATGTTACTTTTTTCCCCCCGCGGACTTGCAGTTGTCCCCCTTTATATAGAGCCCACATCACAACATGAACAATAACCCTCAACTCAGTCGCTTCCCTTTTCTCAAATAGTTCACTCATTGCATCAAGAATACGTACACAGACGTCACATCATCTCACTATACAATTATTACAGTAAACTTCATAATATTTACATCATATTAAATACGTAGATTCAGATACACATAGTTCACACCACCACGCCTTCTTCTTCTTCTTTAAAAGTACATTGTTCTATGAGAAAAAAGTTTACAACAAGATGCAATGGGAAACATGCACGACAAGATGCAATGGGTAATATGAGTGATGTCATTACAAGGGTGTGACACAGCTTTCTGTTTGATAGCAGTCTTAATGCCGCCGCCGCCCCCCCCCCCCCGCCCCGTAGAGGGTGTGACCGGTCCTGGTAAAGAGAGTGACCGGCCCTGGTAAAGAGAGTGACCGGTCCTGGTAGAGGGAGTGACCGGCCCTGGTAAAGAGAGTGACCGGTCCTGGTAGAGGGAGTGACCGGCCCTGGTAAAGAGAGTGACCGGTCCTGGTAGAGGGAGTGACCGGCCCTGGTAAAGAGAGGTGATTTTTTAGCTAGATATTAACTGGTTAAATTATACCCAGGCGATATTGTTTTTTAGCTAGATATTAACTGGTTAAATTACAGAAAGGCAATACATTTTTTTAGCTAGATATTAACTGGTTAAATTATACCCATGCAATATTTTTCAGCTGGATAAGTTATAGCCGTGTGATAGTTTTCAGCTGGTCATATAATAGGAAGGTGATATTTCGCAGCCAGATATATGGTTAAACTATAGGGCTGGTAAGTAGGTCAATAAACAGTTATATGGCTCATGCAGGTTTTATTGAGCCGTACAACTTGTTGGTGACCTACTTACCAGCCCTATAGCCAGTCGATATTTTTAGCTAGATATTAGCTGGTTAAATTATAACACGGTGACATTTCTCAACCGTATATCAGCTGGTTAAATTATAACACGGTGACATTTCTCAACCGTATATCAGCTGGTTAAATTATAACACGGTGACATTTCTCAACCGTATATCAATCAGCTGGTTAAATTATAACACGGTGACATTTCTCAACCGTATATCAATCAGCTGGTTAAATTATAACACGGTGACATTTCTCAACCGTATATCAGCTGGTTAAATTATAACACAGTGACATTTCTCAACCGTATATAAGCTGGTTAAATTATAACACGGTGACATCTCTCAACCGTATATAAGCTGGTTAAATTATAACACGGTGACATCTCTCAACCGTATATCAGCTGGTTAAATTATAACACGGTGACATTTCTCAACCGTATATCAGCTGGTTAAATTATAACACGGTGACATTTCTCAACCGTATATCAGCTGGTTAAATTATAACACGGTGACATTTCTCAACCGTATATCAGCTGGTTAAATTATAACACGGTGACATTTCTCAACCGTATATCAGCTGGTTAAATTATAACACGGTGACATTTCTCAACCGTATATCAGCTGGTAAAATTATAACCATGCTATATTTGGCAGCTGGTTAAACTAAAAGATGGTGATATTTCTCAGTCAGATATCTTAAAATATATCCAGTCATATTTTTAGCCAGATATCTGGTCAAATTATATCCAGTCATATTTTAGCCAGATATCTGGTTAAATTATATCCAGTCATATTTTAGCCAGATTTCTGGTTAAATTATATCCAGTCATATTTTAGCCAGATACCTGGTTAAATTATATCCAGTCATATTTTAGCCAGACATCTGGTTAAGTTATAGCATGGCGATACTTTTAGCCACATATCTGGTTAAATTACGGCATGGCTATGTTTCTCACTCAGGTGTTGACGACGGAGCTAATTTTGTATCGAATAAACAAAACAGTATCGTGTTGTGTTAATTGTGTTTTTTCCTGTTAGTAATCGTACTTATGACGATACGATACCTCTAATGTTCACAGTCACGGAATCGAACACACGCCACACCATTAACTTACAGCAGGGGTCTCCAAACTACGGCCCGCGGGCCGGATGCGGCCCGCGATGTCCTCTCATCCGGCCCGCGATGTCCTCTCATCCGGCCCGCGTAGATCTTTTTG